TTAAATTCAGCACATTAATCTAAGCCTATGTTGATAGATAGGCTTAGATTAATGTATCATGTATATGATACATATACATGATATAGAACATGTTTTCATGTTTTAGAACTTAATTTTTCTTAACTATATAGGGTGTAACTAAAAAGTGCAACTACTTAACGGTCATATTGTACTTATAAATACAAGGAACCTTAAAAAAATTAGACTTCCTTTATTTTTTCGTCAATTTTTATGACTATACAATTTTCTTTACTCTACCAAAAACCGTAGTACAAAAGTTGTTTGTACTTGAGTGGACCCTTAACCCTTTCATGGACTACAGCGTTTATCGTAAAATTAAATATTAGAATATGATATTGCGGGGTACCCTGTTTCGCTATATGGATCGCAACAACCAACAACGGGCTTTATAGTGGGATTTCCAAGTGCTATCTGTAGTTGCCGCCTACTGCTTTTCCATAAAGAAGTATCAACAACGTACTGACAAAATTCAATTATTTCATACAGTACATTGAACATTTTATATTGATCCAATATAAGCACTACGACAAGTACTCACATTTTTGTGTGCGGTAATGTTTGAATACAGTCCATGAAAAGATTAAAGTATTTTGCACGTTTTTCTTACACTATGTATAAGGTAATGTTTTAACACGTAGAAACAAGTTACATCGCACGTCGTTACGTAGATTTTTTAAACTAGCTGCCAAAGTGAATATAATTTTGGCAGCTAATGCTATAAACGGCCATAATTCTTTTGTATAAAAAAAATATTGTTTGTTTTCTTAAGTACAATCTGCAGTTTGGCATCGTGAATCAATAAATAGGACCGTATATTAAGGACTCAATGCATTGGTACTGAGTTGTCACTAGATTCGTTACGTTTGTGTAAATTATAATTATTATAAATACGATTAAAAGTTATTAAAAATTGTAAATCTTTTTTTACATTATTTCCCTTTGCCCATTCCTCCGATATCCAATGAGATTTCCCTTTGGTAAAATTAAAATTGTTATTAGCATATTCTCTTTATAATACGATAATTGATGCAAATTTCACGACCTCTGCACCCCAGTGGTTGGCACTGTAGGCTTATATGTTTTATATTCAATTTGGGAAGTTTTTTTTATAACATCCAAGTGACGGGACGAACAAGTCGCGCGCCTCATGGAGACGCCTGTCCATAACCGGTACAGCGCCACACAGAGCTTTAAATTGCAAAGATCTGAGGGGCACTACCACTGCACCCGTCACTCTGAGACATAAGTTGACAAGTCGCATGTACCTGTAATTTATAAATAGGTAAGGTGGCAGGATACTAACCTGGACAAACTCTTACAAGTAGCTCTGCTGCTACCAAAACTGTTCTTATGAAAAGTTAACTTCGTTTGATGAATGACGTTGCTCTGGTACTCACAGATAATTCCCTAGTTTCGCATGCCAAGAAATTAATTGGTATGGGTTTAAAAAAATAACATCTCGAGAAGTAATTCTATATGAAGTTTTGTTGAAACAGTGCCGAAAGTTGGTGGTCCTCATTTGGCACACGAACAGCTGTAAAAAGGATGCTTTTATGAAGTAAAAGAAGGATATTTACGAAGTAAAATAAAACTAATACTTATTAAAGACTTTTCCGAGCCACGTACGACGCTCGGATTGGAAATGCTGCGTACATTTTATATGAAGTGATTCACATTACAACGTGCCGCGTCCCGGATTCATCCCCTACTTCCCCACTATACGGGACTTAACACAGGTGATAATACAAATCGGTTCTCACTTCTCAAAGCATATTGAGAGAGAACAACGCCTTGAATTGGAGAATAGCAAACTCAACCATTATAATAATTGCTCCTTATAATAAAATTTATGCGCTATTTACATTGACTTTATGTAAGTCAATGGCTATTTATAAAAAAATATTGTGGATGATTGTGGGTGGATGATTTTCTTCAAAATTAAATGGGACCACTATGGAGGTATCCTCTTTTCAACAAAAAAAAAGAATCGTGCAAATCGGTTCACAAATACCGAAGTTACATAACATACATACAAAAAAAACACAGTCGAATTGAGAGCCTCCTCCTTTTTTAAAAGGCCAACCTGTCTATTTTTATTTTCTCCTAGGTGGATGAGTTATGAAGTTACCGCAAGAGAAAAGTGAATATTATGTTTTATTTCATTTCTTTAAACGTAATTTTCTGTTTTGAGTTTTTGTCACAAGCGCGTTGCAAATAATTGCGGCAGATAGATACTGTTACTAAAAGTAATCAACTTATATAATATGAACTAGACTATCGACAACAGTTTTCGTGGAGTTACTGCCACGGCAGCTCGTGATTAACGATCACGGATTGGTTCGAGACATAATGAGCAGCATAATGAGAAATTAGACTTAAATTCGTGGGTATCCATTAGTTCCGTTCATACGTCTGAGTCTCACGGTAGTTTTCTATTTAAAACAACTTATAGAATTAATAGGGGTTAAAGTATGAAATTGCCGATTTGTACTGAAAATCTAAATTGTTTATTTTTTAAATTTTTAACAAATTTATTTAATCAAAATAGTTGCCATTATTATCTATACATTGCTGCCATCTAATGGGAAGGTTATTAATGCCTTTGCGATAGAACTCCGACGATCTAGACTGCACAAACTGTGTGAAAGCATTTTGTACTGCCTCCTGGGAAGAAAACTTCTTGTCACGTAGATAATTGTCCAAATCACGAAAAAAATGGTAGTCCGTTGGAGCAAGGTCTGGTGAATACGGAGGATGACAAATGGTTTCTAACTGCAGTTCCTGAAGGGTCAAAATGGTTTCTCGTGCTGTGTGAGGTCTCGCGTTGTCGTGGAGCAATAATGGTGAAGATCGATTCATGAGTCGGGGCTGTTTTACTGCTAGTTTTGTCAACATGGTTCGGAGTTCGGCACAATAGACATCTGCCGTTATTGCTTGACCAGATCGGAGAAAACTATAGTGAATAACACCATGCTGAGACCACCAAACAGTTACCATTACCTTTTTATTGGTAAGTTTTGCTTTAGGACACTGTTGTGGCATTTGACCTGGGGTCAGCCATTGCATTTTTCTTTTCCGGTTATCATAAAGAATCCACTTTTCATCACATGTTACAATTCGATCCAATATTCCTTCATTTCTGTACCGGTTCAACAAGGCAACACAAGTTTCAACACGCGTTTCTTTCTGCAGATCAGTCAAATCATGAGGCACCCATTTTTCGTATTTTTTTATTTTATTGATTTGACGCAAGTGAGTCAATATTGTGGGTAAGGTAACGTTAAACCATGCCGCTAATTCCTGGGTAGTTTGACTAGGATCGGCTTCCACTATCTCTCTTAATTCATCGTTATTCACCTGTGTGGGCGGTCTTCCTCGTGGCTCGTTCTTTAAGTCGAAATTTCCATCACGAAAGCGTTTAAACCAAAATCGCACGGTGCGTTCATTAGTAGACTCCTCTCCAAACGCAGCATTGATATTGCGGGCTGTTTCTGCCGCGTTAGTTCCGCGTCGGAACTCGTATTCAAAAATTCTCGAATTTTCGCAGTATCCATCTTTCTTGTCTAAATTGAATAACAAAAACAATTGAAAGTCGATATTCAAATGTTTCAAATTTAAAAAAAAAAAGAAATCACAGAAACCATTTGAAAAGAGTTTCATTCGAAAACCTCAAATCATGAAGATTCTATGAAAATTCAAAGAACCTATTGCAATAAAACGGCAATTTCATACTTTAACCCCTAATATTAATACAAAGATCGAATGCTTAGAAAAAATTATTTCGATCCGGCCGGATTTGAACCGACGTCTTCTAGCAAACCGTGGCCGACGCTATGCTTTCCAAGTCACGGAACAAACCAGCGGACCTCACGAATTTTCCTATGTGCTAGTTGTCGGATCTTTTTTGTATTTGGTTTTATATCAGAAATTTCGATCCAGAGTTACTGAACACGTCAGTATCGTTAATCCAATTTAAAGATTCTGTCAAAGCTAGAGCCTCGTAGAAAGGCCTCAAGCGCAGGCCGGACAGTGAACGAAGCTAGCTAACTTAACTTACCTCACGTACGAGTAGTTAGTTAGTGCGGAATAGATGTAGAGCGAACGTACCGTGGTAGAGGGAGAATACCGAGATATCCCCTTATTAAGATTAACGCTCTTAATTTAAACGTGCTTGAATATGATGTTCATAGACAGAAACGTATATCATAATTAATTATATGGATATATTGTATTGAAATAAATTTAGTTATTAATTAACGTAGAATCTGATGTTGTTGTTAAAGTAAAACAAATTTTCGCCACGCCGACTTTACGCCGCCAGTCAAGTTCATCGGCGGCGGCGCGTCCGATCGACAGTTATGCCATTTGTTGTGCAACACTATTCCACGATCGCTTACTTGCCAGAAAATGAAATTTACAATAAGGCCTTGGAGGAGTTAAATGGCGTAGGATTAATAGTGAATTGAAAAAAGTTAGTTTTCAGTTTTGATTTTTATAAGTGGCTGTATATTTTTGACTCATTATTTGTCGTAGTTTTTTTACAGTAAAAGATCATGTGAGGGTGAATTATGTAGTCATGGAAAATTGTGTTTGTGCTATTTCCGACTGTTTCTATACTTAATTAATGTTATCAAATTAAATATCACAATAATTGTTATTTTTTAATGTTAATAAATATAAACGGTTCGGTACAATGACAAATTAAGTTTGTCTGCTTCGCCGGCAAAACAATCGAGGTCTAAGTGGGTGCCGTTTAGGTATCTACCTACCTATAGCCCTTCATCATTTTGGTAACTTTCGACATATAACCTAAAGATTTTTTGCTAGTAAAAAAATGACAATTTTAAGCTGATTTTACTTTAAAATGAAACTGAAATTAAATAAGATAAAAAACCGATTAGAGGGGGTACAACCCCACTCGTTTCGCTGATCCAAACAGGTTCTTGAACACTATATGGTGTTTATGTATATTTATGTGGCCTCAGGGAATCTCAAATTATACCGGTTAGGGGTATTTTTGGATTTAACGCAATATTTAGGTTATGTAGGTAAGTATAATCTTTTTAGCTCTTTATGTGAAGAGTCTCGCAGAACAATATGTCTCCGTTGCGTCTAGTCTCCTCAATTCCAAATCGTGCTCTTGCAGGCTTAGTGTGGTCACACTCTACTAACAGCAGTAGGTACCTATATATATATCGAGCCATTACCGGCGACTTAATGTAAGCGACAAACACAAATTTTACGGAAGAATAAAAATGGAAGCACATTAATTTGCTACTCCGCGAACCCAATGGAGGTTAATCTAGCAAGAAGACTGCAAGAAGACTTATTTAAATTCGAACAATATTGTCCCATAAATAAGTTAGGCCTCAACGTTTCTAAATGTATGACTATGACTTTTTCCAGAAAAATCAACTTATTTAATAATACATACTATCTACTTGGAAGCCCTATTGAGAAGGTAAATCGAATCCGGGACTTAGGGGTAATACAAAATCACAAACTTCTGTATGATGTATGAACACGTAGAGAGCATAATCAATAAGGCATCCAAAGCGTTAGGCTTCATTATGAGGACATCTCTAAATTTTAAAAACTTAAAAACAATAAATATTCTTTTCTGTGCTTTTGTACGAACCCCAAATATAAAATTTACATTAATCGAATAGAAAATATCCAAAAGAAATTTATGCGATTCTTAGATAACAAAGCTCAAGTTTGGACATCAGGTTATATCAACCGCTGCAAACGATACCATTTTCTTCCATTAGAACACCGACGTACAATAAGCGACATTTCTTACCTCAATGAGCGTTGCTCGTGGATCTATAGACTCTCCGGATTTACTTGATAAAATACAGTTTCGTACTAATACAAAAAGCCTCCGTGAACGACCATTGCTAAACATATCTATAGTTTAAACTAATTACAGTCAAAATTCCTTAATATTGCGTGCCTCTTGTGCGTTTAATAAGTGGTGTGTGGACTGTGATCTCGATCTGTTTTGTACTAGTGTAGCTGCAGTAAAACGGCGTTTAACTACAAAAATGTTTGAATGCACGTAACAATGTAGATTGCGGGTTTTGTGGTCTAATTGGCCGTCATTTACTTTTGTTGTTGATTGTACTTAGTGAGCTCAGGATACGATATTTGTAGCATCACCTATATTTTTTGTTCTATTTTATTTTTTGTTAATTTTTATATGTGGGAACTCATCGTCAGAATTTGAAAATTTATTTAGTTTTCGAAGTGACTGCTTATCTGTCAGTTCTCCGACAAGCTATTAAATAAATAAAATAAATAAATAAAATAGCTGCGCTTGTGTTTAATATTTTTTCATACAGTTAATTTTCCCACCCTCCCTCCGCATAAAATTAATAAAATAAATAGCACAAACGCAACTACAGTCACAAACACCACCAAAAATATACCGGACACGTGTTTCGCCTCTCCACGAGGCATCCTCAAGGGCTGTTGATTGCTCGACACTCGGCTCGGTTCTTCGGTCGTTCCATGTCGGTTTTTTAGTATTGATTCCTTGTCTGTGACACTGATATACAAAAAACAGTTTAGCTAACGATAAACTTGGGTTTTGCTTTAATTTTTGTTCGATTTTTTAAATTTAAATTTATGTATTGTTATACACAGACAGCTCACATATCAAACACCCCCAAAGCTAACGCTAAAGGGTACAAAATTTCTGAAATTGTACTCCTAATAGCAAAAATACACACTGCCATCGCTGCCCTTTTTTTTTTCGAAACACAAATGCAATATCACTGTGATTTTTTTAAACGTAAAACTTTTTTCAGGGACAATCACTTAGGTACCTACCTACCAATTTATTCCACATACTGATTAAGTAATTTCTTTTTTTTTTGAACTATGAATACAAACTCTATTGTGGGGTTATTCCTAAGTATATTAAGTAAGTTGTTTTACACTTCTCATACCGCTCATTTGGTACTGCATTTTTTTATTGTAATTTTGGCAAAATTTGATTAAATAGTCACATTTGATTAAATGTTAACATATCAATAACATACGCGCACACACGTTTGAAAAAATCGGCATTAATTTTAAATTTATATGTATAAGTATATTGTAAAAGTACACAAAGTTTTGTTGACACGTCGTAAATTTTAAATAAAATTAAAAACTCAATCCAAATCCATTTCATGTAATATTACAAGAAGTCTGTACAATTCCGTCAATGTAGCACCAAATACGCGTTACGTACGTTGATAGTTACTGGTGCTAGAAAAGTAAAACAAAATGTAAAACGTGACACATTTTTCACAGTTGATATTACCGAAGTACACAATATGCCAAAACAAAGTATACAAACACGACAAGGGAATTTGACGTCTAAAGGTCCAATGATACCCGAGCAGAATCAGAATAGAAGATTTCAAGATCAATGGGGTCTTTTACAGTCAGGCGGTCAGATAGCACCCAGGCAATTTCAAGCATATCCTTCACAGATGAGAGATCAACACTTCATGGAATACCAAAAGAACCCTTCCCAGTGGGCAGGCCAAGAGGGTCCGGTGCTGCTTCAACATCAGTCAGGAACAACTAAACAGGACTTTCAGAATCAGTTGGGTGCCGTGCAATCGTATGGTCAAACAGCACCTACATATTTTCAAAGATATCCGTTACAGTTGAGAGATCGAAAGAAAATTATGATGCAAAACCCAATAAACCCCTCCGAATGGGGACGTCAAGAAGATTCACACGGCCGTCAGAAAGGTTCGCAGATTCGAAGTCAGGATTATTCCGAGTATGCCCAGATGATGGATCAGGTGAACACCAATCAGATTCAGTATACAAGAAACCCTTCCCTATGGGGGCGTCAAGAAAATACGCAGATTCGAAGTCAAGATTATTCCGAATATCCCCAGATGCAATATCAAATGCAAACTTCCCAGTTGGGGCATAAAGGGCTCCCACAATTTCAGTACCAAGACAATAAAGACAGTTTACGCTCTCAAACTAATATGTACAAAAAGTTTTTACGTCAAAACTATAGAACAACCCGACGAAGACGTAGAACCGAATGGGATCAGTGGATTCCCCCACATTTAATCACAGACAGTTCAGAAACAAAAGGAACTGATGCAAGGGAAAAAATGAATTGGACTGGATGGACCGGGCAATACTCGGGGGATTTTGACATACATTGGCACCCTAATGATCCTAAATTTGATTTCACCACTTCGATAACACCATTGTAATTCATTTTTTATTAGTATTCATTCACCGATCTTCACCGGACTTTTCTAGTGCTGTGGTGATTCCAGCCTTTGGCGTAATTTTCTTCATTCGATAACAAGAATTCTCTAAAATTCACCTGTATAGATAAGTATTACTGCTCTACTTATTATATCCTAGAACACCTGTGCTTACGCAGTATTGGAGATTAAAGAAAAAGCCAACGCAAGGAACTCACAATAATCTTTAAATCTTGTGATATTTATTTTTATTGAATATCATGATGTCTTTACTACCATAACATTCATCTATTTTTGCAAACACTTCACTATTCATATAATTGTTCATACAAATTATTATTGTAAAACATGCACATTAGCGATGCGCGATTGCGAATGACTTCGATATTCGACTCATTAGTAATTGCTAAACCTGTCATTCGAATGACAGGTTAGTAACCTACTAATTTTCGTATTCGAATAATTATTCATTACTAATTTATAGATTCCATAGAGCACAGCGATATTCATGATCATATAGCCCTTTCTCTGCCGTGTCAGACGTATCTCATGTATCTCACGAAACCTAGTTTTGAGAAAAAGGTGATTAAAGTTTTTTCGTAATTTGCCTTTATTTTACGAAGATTTTATGCAATTATTGAAGAAAATATGTAAAAAGATTGGTTAAAGCCTAAGGAATACGGAGAATGTTTCAGATCTCTGAAAAAGTATCAATTTTTTAATTTATTACCGATAACATTGTTTGGCGTAACAAGCTCCCCATACAAATTAAGTCAAGAGACGTTCTGTATCTAAAGATACAGGACTTACGCTCAACACGTTTAACGCAAAATGGTTTGCTTAGTACAGGTAACTTCAAGATATCAGAAATTGGCATGATAGCTAATGTTAATGTAAATTGTATATAGTTATTAACTAATTATTGGTGAACGAAAAAAAAACTTTGAAAACTTTGAAATAAATAATTACATCCATTCATTACAATACAGTTTTGGAGTGTATTTATAAACTGTCGCATAAACGCTGTAAATTAAAACTACGGCAGAAATTAGAATAAAATCTGTACCTAAGGTTTTTCCATAGTGTGCAAGGATCAGGTACCGAGTTTTTCTGTTTTGTGCTTTCTAATTGACACTCAGTTGAGACCATGAGATGACCATTCCAACATCTGAGCGAGACGTCTGATGAGGCTCGGCATGCGCCCAGAGACGTACAATCGTCATTCTAGGGGCTTTTAATGGTCACTATCAAGAATGGCTGTTACCATACCACATGACCGATCAAGCAAGGAGAGCGACGCCAAAACTCGCGTTAACGCTAAGCCCTTCCCAGTTTTTCAGTAGCTCATCAGGATCCCAGACGTTGAATCTCGTACGGTTTCACATTGTCTCATATCCCTGGCAGGCTTGCTTTTCTTCAGGGGACTCGTTGATTTGTGTTGATGCTGTGGTCGAGGTCTTGCATTTGGGTATGGTGTTATTACATTACTGATGTCCCAATGGACCCCAAGTTAGTAGACCAGGAGCGAATTAGTTACGGCGTTAAGGCTTCGCTCAGGACACGTTCCTTTGAACAAGTTCGGATATCTGATGTCAAAGGTTCCTTCGCCAAACTGTGGGATATGTGCGACAACAGGAGACGTCTATCTTGTGATAATGGAGTGTGTTAGGAGTGAGGTGTTAAGACAACAGCTTCCGGACGTGTCAGTGATGCCTGTGAAGGCGTATCACTGGCGTAGGGTTTGGCCCGGACGCCCGCCGTACACTGGTCTTACCGAAGAGCACGTAGCCTCCCTGGAACCCCTTATCTCTCAGGTCAGTAGATACGGGACAACACACACCGGGAGAGCCCCATATCTTTCTACATTACTTTTAATTATAGTGATCCTCTCTACCGATCCTTAAGGTATACGAGAAGGGCACTATAACCTGTGCGTGCACGGGAACCTTCTAAGTTCAGGTTCTGACCCCAGATCAGCCAGTGTACAGGGTTATCACTGATTTCATCCGGCCCCCAAGAGGCTAGTGCCTCGGGTGAGCACACACACCGCAATAGTTACTTCAGCTGTACCAAGCACAAGTTCGGACGTGTATTGAATACAGCAACCTATGAGATGGTTCTGCTAAATACCAACTGGCCACCTTGGATTTAGTTTGAAAGCGTATCAAGAGGCTTACTTATGTGTCACTGTGAAGAGGCTTGTGGGCGACTCGGTTTAGTAGATGAGAAGCTACAGAGCCTTGACTACCGCCGTAAAGTTGCTTGTCGGTGTTCTACAAGATATATCACGAAGAGTATCTGATGGAATTGCAAAATTTAATTTGCCTCCCCCTTTCCATCATCAGGGGTATCATCTAGACGTAGGCTGGCGTTCCAACCCTATGTAGTTAGCAAAGCATTACGCTTCCTCATTTTTATGGCAAACGGCTATGAAGTAGAATTCTCTGCTTGCCGACTTATTCCCTGAACGCTATAACTAGAGCCTTTTCAAGGTGTTCATGCTTCAGCCGCGACCTCATCGTTGTTTTTCATCAAGTGAGATGATCTACTAAATCTTCATACAAACTCGGTCACGGCTAACTCATGTAACTTTAGTTACCGGAGACACATTTTGCTCGTCGTGTGCGAAACTTGTTGCGCTCATATATTGTAACTTAAGATGCAGTATTTCGCCATAATTCACTATGGCAAAATCAAAGGTACATGAATTGTGTGACAGCCAATTCCAAGGAACTGGTGGACAATATTCAAATAAATGTTTGATGGGTGGATGCAGTAGGTAGAAAAATACGATTTAGAGTTGTTACCCGTAACTCATGTATCTTAAGTTAATAGATATACGCCTGACACGGCAGCTCTGACATATACGAGTACATTTAACGTGTGCCGTAAACAGACGCACACTTTCGCATAATAATGAAAGGCGCGTGAGACGACCAGCGCAATGCAAAGCGAGTGCATCGCGACATTATGCGAATGTGTGAGCACACATACAAACCATGCTGCTGTGTCTGTATGGAGTTACCATACTTGTCTCATTGCACTTATGTACCAACACTTGAGACGTTTACCAATTTATGCACTGTATACAAACTTTCACAATGTTGCAGCATTTATAAACCTAAAGCAAGCTCAACGAGAACACAACGCGTAATGCTCACGTTTGATGATGATTGCGATCAACACACATATTATTGCATGGTCGGCTTTGAGTAAGTATAGTAATGCTAGCTATACAATATCTACGTCGGGTATACATTATTTACGGTTATTATAATAAACTACCAAATCAACTACACTTTCTTAACTTTAAAACAAGTTATTAAAATAATTTTATCTCTATTTTTTTCTCTTTTTCTCCTTACGTGTACTGCTGTTCTTTTGAGAATCTGTCTTCATGAGAATCCGTCTTCTTGAGAATCCGTCCTATTGAGAATCTGTCCTTATGAGAATAATGGAAAAAATCGTCCTCAAAAGTTTGTGGAATCCCATCTATTTGCCAAGTCTTAATGAAATCGGTTAACGGAAAGTGGGTGAAATGCATTCATCACCTAATTTGAGACTGTGTGTGATTAGTGATTAGGCTCAATTTACATTTCGGAGGAACGGAATGGAATGGAAGCGTCAATTTCTCCCTGCGCTTGAAGACGCCCGCGATCGTTGGAGTGCTCGTGCATTCCCGCGAATGATCGAACATTCCCGAGGCCGCGCCTTTAGTACTTCGTCGATGTTTGACGTCACGCTGCGCCTGCCTTTGCGCCACTTCCAGCGAATTCATCAGGCGTCGGCGCCGACGGCAGCTGCGGAATCTTGCGGAAGACACGCGAAGTGTTTTTGGCTCGTATCTAGTTTGTACGTTACACGATTGACCGTAAAGTTCATTCCGCCATGTACAATATCGTTACAAAAATTCGCTTCAATTCCGTTCCGCCGTTAGGACGCTCCCTTACCGCGAACATTCACCTGTACTCGTAATGTAACATTCAAGATTCGTTTTTGAGCATTACATTACAAACTACCGCCTTCACCGACGAGCATTCGCCTGTAAAGTAACATCCAAGATTCGATTAGGCTGCGATTCCACCAGAGATTAGCGAGGTAGCAAGGCGTACATGCGAGTGCCTCCGAGTGCCTTTGAGTGCGTTTGAGAGCCTGCGAGTGCCTCCAAGTGACTTTGAGTGCATTTGAGAGCCTGCGAGTGCCTTTGAATGCCTGTACCGCCCTCACCGCTGTAATGCTCGCTTTTGACAGCATCAGAGAACAGCAATTATTTGCGTTTTACGTTGAATGTTTTGATTATGTTATGTTTCGATTTTATTTTTTTTTTTTTTGGGGTGCATTGTGGTAAACAAATAAATGTATTTTCATTCTTTTTTTCAATTTGGCTTTGGCATTCTGGTAAAAGATGAGATGATGGAAAGAACGTGTGCGCGTACACAAAAGCTGGAGATGCACAATTTCACGGCCCGCACGCTAAATAAAATATTTTAAAAAAGCTCTGGAGCTTAAACTTTAAATACTCCTCTATGTATATTTCATTGATATCTCATACCTGTGTTTGATGGAGATCAGTACAGCCATTTCTATAATTTTTACCTATCCTTTACCTACTTGATTTTTTTTAGTACTGGCAGAGCTTGCGGTACTACAACGTATTACAGATATTATACTTTCAAAAATATATGCGAATTGGACTATGTAAACTGTGTACAAGGATACGAAGGTACGTAGAAATTAAAAGAAATACTCGAAAAGATGCCCACACTTTTCATCATCATTATTGTCAATCCATATACGTCCAAATATAGGGTAGAGTCCCTTATCTTTCTAAATTAGTTTTGATTATAGTGACCCTTCCGTACCGACCCTTAGGGTATACGAGAAGGGCTAGTGCCCTAGTAACCTGTGCGCGCACAGGAACCGGCCCCATGCAACCGAGAGAACGCGTCCGTCTCTGCAGCTCACCACAAACCCCAGCGAGTCCATACCCAAATCTGGGTCCACCAGAGACGCCCGTGAGGACGTATCACTGGCAGAGGGCTTGGCTCGGACGCCCGCTGTACCCTGGTCTTGGCGTCGAGCCCGTAGTCTCTCCGGAAAACCGTATATCTCGGGTCGGTAGATAGGGACAAATGTGTGTCCGGTAAAGAACGGATAAGCCTGAAATGCCTTAGAGCTTATGAACGTTCAAAAAAATATCCCATGTAGTAGTACCTAACATATATATATTTTTTTCTTTAAATTTAATTATTTTCACCTTATTTTACGTTTTTGTACACCACAACTACAAGTTAATCAATTCCTTCGGTTTTTTTGGTGTCATAATATTCTACATTAACTGTGCTAAAAGATAGGCAGTAAATAGTTTTATTTTATTTTTCAGTGCAAAACTTTTTTTTCACTTTTTTTTCTTTGATATAAAAAAAAATTATGATAACCTGAGTGGCAACCATTCTAAAATAATGTGTGTTTAAAGTAGATTTCAAAATCGTATAATTCATTATTGTATCTAATATAAATAGAAAATTATTGCTATTAATGTGCAAAAGGAGTAAATTTCACTAAAAACTAAGTTTTCAAAATTGGACCATTTTTTTTCCTGAATTGAGCTTGACAATTGAGGTTCAATAAAAAAAAACAATATTAGAAATAAATACAACTTTATTTACAATTTGTTTACAGCAAATGTTCAAACTGTTTGCCACCGACTCTGATGCAGACTCTTCATCTTCGAATAAAAGCCCTTTTTAGTAGCCGCGTATATCGTCGTTCACTTATTGTTGCAGCGGCTGCACTGGCACGGCTACGTAAGTCTTCCAAGAACCTGATCGGCTTACTATACACAATTTCCTCCTCATTATACAAAATCCAGTGGATTTAGGTCCAGTGAACGCGGAGGTCATAAAATTCCCGGTCCATCTGTCTGGGTATTTTCTATTCCAATATGCTCAAACAATTACCGCATAGTGCACAGGACAGCCGTCATTTTATAACCAATGGGATTCCCTCAGCTCCTCTGGCGCGTCTTCCATTAAATTAGGCAGATCATTCTGGAGGAACTCCAAATAACTTTGACCAGTTATGTTCCCCGGTAGTTCAAATGGCCCTATTACTTTTCCATTTAATATTCCGGTCCAATAATTTATTTTGGTACTGTGAGCGGTCTTCCTGCATAAGATGGGGGATTTGAAGTTCCCAGCTATGGAGATTATGTAGATTTAAATAGCCATCTCTTTTAAGGGTTGGTTCATCGCTCCATAGAATTTTGTTAAAAAATTGCGGGTCTTCCTCTATCTTACCTAGCATTTGTCGGCAAAAAAGTAATCTTGAAACGTAATCTCTCGGTTGGAGAGTTTGCACGCGTGTAACGTGGTAGGGATGGAATTTATTTTTATTTAAAATATCATGCACTGTCGATTTTCCTATTCCCGTGAGTCGTGTTGTTACTCTCGTCGAGGTGGAAGGATCTTGCTCAATTTCCACAAGCACTATCTGTTCGTTGTCACCACGAGGTATTCTTCCAGTATTAGTACCACCAACACCACTACCAGGCATTCTTATTTCTGAGTAACATGCATGGACTCTCATGAACACGCGGTAATCTGGGTGACAAGCATTAGCGTATCTTTCCCTATAAAGAACTGCAGCTGCATTTGCGTTGGTTCCACATTCCCCATAAATAATATGCATGTTTGCATATTCTTGCGTCGTATACTGAATGCGTGGCATTTTTATTTACAGACCCAAAAACTGACTGACTGACTTTCTAGACTGAACAGAGTCTAGAAATAAGCCGAGTCGTCGTAATAACCAAACAAACAAAGTCCAAATCAGTAAGCAAAACGATAGTCCATTAAAGAGCCAGGTCGTCGTTTCAACACTGATTGAAAGTAAATCACAACAATTGCGAACGAAAAATTGCAACAAGCACAACACATGCGATGCCGAACAAGTCGAGTGACCCATTAATTCCATGAAAACATTTGCTAGCCGACACTGACCCTCGTTATCTCTTAAAAAACAAAAGACGAGTGTTGCGGCGAGGTAACCAATAACTCTCACACGCGTGGTATATTCATGGTACATTAACAATGTAAAAATTGTTTAGATTTGATTTATGCATTCTATTGCTGTATACAAATTGTAAATAAAGTTGTATTTATTTCTAAAATTGTTTTTTTACTGAACCTCAATCGGCAAGCTCAATTCTGGACAAAAAATGGTCCAATTTTGAAAACTTAGTTTTTAGTCAAATTTACTCCTTTTGCACATTAATAGCAACAATTTTCTATTTATATTAGATACAATAATGAATTATACCATTTCGAAATCTACTTTAAAGACACATTATTTTAGAATAGTTGGCCACTCAGGTTATCATAATTTTTTTTATATCAAAGATGCTTAAACTTTGTGAAAAAAAAAAATTTGCACTGAAAAATAAAATAAAACTTTTTTTTTAAATTAAGTGCCACAGTTAGTCATACTATTTACGGCCTATCTATTAACACAGTTAATGTAGAATATTATAACACCAAAAAACCGAAGGAATTGATTAACTTGTAGTCGTGGTGTACAAAAACGTAAAATAAGGTGAAAATAAATAGATTTAAAGAAAAAAAAATGTTAGGTACTACTACATGGGATATTTTTTTGAACGTTCATAAGCTACACTATAAGGCATTTCAGGCTTATCCATTCTTTACCGAACACCCTGTATATAGGGCACGTACAGTCTCAAGACGGAATTTATTTTATTAATTTAAAAGGTAGATCAATAGCTTAAAAATAAATTAAATAATAATAGTAACAATTGAGAGCCAATTAAAGATCCTCACAAATAGAAATATAGTAAGGAATCTGCATGCACAATTTCCCTGACTTATTATACTTATAAAACATTAAAAAAAAAACGCAGCAGTTGTAAGGCTCACCAAGAGGCAAAGAACTGCTCGCTCAGTGCTTTCTTTGCCGAAATTATTCCCACTAGTTCCGTTGAGAGACCTACTGGTACTTTTTCCCATTTGTTCTGTTAATAAATACACAGTTTTCTTTACAGAACTACTGAGAATTATCTCTCCCACTAGTTCTGTGTACAAGTTTTCAGTCTAGAGTTGTACCACAGAACAAAATGGGAAAAAAACACCGGCACTTCTATCAGCAGAACGGTATAACAAAACTAGTGTGAATAATTGGACAGAACCGACAGAACTACTGCGAATCATAAATCCCGTTTGTTCTGTTAACAGGACAAATGGGACGAAAAGTAGCATTAGTCCTGTCAATAGAACTGTACAACAGAACTAGAGGGAATAAACGGAAATCACAATCGTATTGAAAAGATCCAGATCAAACATAAAATGTTAAACTCATTGCTTGCCCGCCACATAAACGCTTTGCCTGTAGCAGAGTTAGGACTAAAAGTGAATTGTTTCTAAGTACTTGAAAGAACACGCAGTGATACTTGTGCAATTCCGGACAGTCAATAGAGCCCGATGCTATTTTTAATAAACACTTATAAGTCAGTAATATCTCGACGAATTTCTAGTGGAGATGATGCTTCCTACAGAAATTGTAATAATTGGCAGAATCGTAACAGTCATTTGTTCGATAGCACGGAAAACGCATTAAACTTCTTTTGTATATTTTCAAGCCGCGAAATGTAAATCTGATAACGAGGATTCAAAATTGGGCTTGCGTAATCTAAAATATAATGTAATAATATATAGGAATATTGACTCCACATAGCATCTTTTCGTGAACGGCAGAATAGAGAGCCTAGCATATGGCGAATAATAAGTGGCGCGACTCCCGCCGCTTGTCAATTCCTACACGTCACTCGTAGCGTAGGGTTGTCACATTATTGTTATATACATACAGGTTGCACAAAATCATTAAAAAAAAAAATTCATCACAGTTTTTTTGTGTTATATTGATTTAACCTTTGTCAAATGCAGTGCATTTTGATAATTTTATGAACGCCGACTAGTGTCTCGGTTATGGAATATTCCCATCATCATGGTAATGAAACAAAGTTAAATGAGACTTTCTACATATCGATACATTAATAAATAAAAAAAGCGAGGACAGTCAAGGTCAAAGTGAAATAATTTATTTGCATGTCACAGTTAAAGCATAGAAAATACAATTTAAGTTGATAGATTATTGAAAAGTATCATGTGACTCCCTTTAAGGGCATAGCAAATTACAGAGGTGTTTTTTATAATAGATTAATAAATTTACACCAATAAAATACATATATCATACAATTCCAATACATGCATTAAATTCATTAAAAATAATAATCATATTTGTAAAATTTTAATATTACACACATTTTTGGGCAAGAAAGGCAAGTACTTCCAAAATAAAAATAGGTAATACAATTTATTAGTAGATTAGTAACTAAATGTCAAAGGAGATTTCATAACATAAAAAAAATATTTTAAAAAATACACTCTACTCTAAATTGGTCCAAATACTAATAATGTCGTAATAATGTAAAAAATAACTGATAATGTCTTTCATTATATTATTCCACCAAATTTTTATCACGGATGTATTCAGTAAAGCACCCTTGCAAATTTACCTGACTAATATAATTTTCGAAACTCGACTTAGTTGACACTGGAATAAGGCATGCTAAAACAGAACCGTGGCGGACCATTTCACCATAACTCTGAGCAGTGGCGGATTTGCAATCTTGGCCGCCATTGTCCTCACATTCTTGAGCCTACAAGGCCCCAGGCCATGTAGTCAGTGCCTGTATCTGTTCAGTAGTTTTTGAATTTATCGTGATCAGACAAACAGACAGACAAACGTATTGATGTAGTGATTATACATTACATATATGTAACATATCGATATTTTATGCATAAAATGTGCGAAAGTGATTTAGAAAGTTTATTGTTATATGATGCGGTGCAGTGCGGCCCGTCATAATGTGCTTGAGCCTTTAGAATATTTAGGTACTTTGAGTTATTGCTTGTCATCATCAGTGAATTTTTTGTCACGATTGGCCGCCCTAGGCCCAGGCCTACGGGGCCTTAGGGCAAATCCGCCACTGACTCCGAGTCAAACTTCTCTATTATATAGAGATCTCCTTAGCGTCGTCACTGCCAAAATAGTAACAATTAAAATTACAGTGTAACTAAGATTAATTGCTATAAAAGCCTTACACACACGGCACATTTTTAGCGCGCAGATGACGCACGTAGATTGTTACTTTTGTACCGATTCAAACGCATGTAAAAACGTGCATGAGCAGCGCGTTTGAAGCTTGTTTGTATCGCGTTTCACGCGCGTTTAAATCGTTTCAACAACAATAATGTCGCGTCGCTGAGGTAGGCCACCGCTCCGCCACCCACAATCGTCTGTATCGCCTACGCGCAGTTGACGCGCGTTTCACGATCTCTATAAATGTCGTCGTATATATTCGTCGCATTGTCCACAAGAAAATAGTAGACTACATAGGGCGCACTATAAGTTTCCGGAACTGGCCACTTACATAAACAATATTTAAAAAGTAATTACAACATTTGAAATAGGAACTTTTTGGCTGTAGAATACAGTTTGTTTCATCTGATTGTCACTTATTTTTACATTGTAGCGTTAATTTAAAAATTGGTTGTATGCATCACCATGGATTTAACTCGTGGAAACTTTCGTAGTATGATTTTCTACGACTTTATGTGTAACCAGATGAAGCACCATGCAAGACATCTATTTATAGCTGGTTTGCAGAATTCAGACGCGGTCGTGTGAATCTCAGTGATGAATTTCGTGATGGTCGCCCGTCCACTGCTGTGAACAACAAAAACATCGATGCTGTGTGGCGTATGATCAAAACAGACAGGCATGTGACATACCATGAGATTCGGGCATCTTTAGGCAAAGGCATGAGTCAAATACAATCAATACTACACAAACATTTGGGTGTGAAAAAGTGGATCTCACCCAATTTTACTGAATCTCAAAAAACGGATCGTTTGAAAAAGTGCATTAACGCTAACGGAGAATATTTTGAGAAACAATAAATTCATTTCTAACCATTTATAGTTTTTTTTACTTATTCATTTCGGAAACTTGGAGTGCGCCCCACCAACCATTTATTTAACTATTGACATCGGCATGCCTCCGAAGTTCGGTAATTGTTGACATGCAACCACATACACAAATGCAATACTTCCTGGACTCTTTTATTTTTTAATTTTAGTGAAGCGACGTGCTCTTGGCTCCGGTATTTATCGAACCAACAGATTATGTAACGAAGATTATTCAAGTTGATAAATTTTAGTACCTGTCTAATAAATTATAATGAAATTAAATAAGTTATTAATAATTATAAGAAATTTTTATTGATTTTACAATGAATCATAGGATTCTTCTCCATATGGACGGGAATCATCAT